CTGCCTCCCCCCCCGCACACCCCCCCCCCCCCCCCCCCTGCCACTGGAGATGGCTGTGCACAGCATTTTCCTGGCCTTCCTCGTCACTGAGATCGTGGCTTCCTTCCTTGCACTGAAGACCATGACCAAGCAGCTGGCAGCACAGTTCTACCTGCAACAGTTCAAAGAGGGCAGCAGGGGACGGCTGGGGCAGGGGGGCACAGGCAGCTGAGGAGGGGTGATGCTGTGGGATCCCTCCATCCCACACAGTCTGTCCTAGCAGGGAGCATTAAACTGTGCTTGGACCCCCACTGCGCCTCCACACACTGTATTTTTGAGCCAGGCAGCTCAGTGGCTTGTGGGGTTCCCAGAGCACCCCATGGGCATGGACCCAGCCAGTCCCTGCCCTGCACCAGGCCAACACAGCCCCAGGCAGGTAGGAGCACAGGGTTCAGCATCACCAAACTGCTCAGGCTGACCCTAGGGCTATGCTCATCCTCGCAGAGGATCAGCCCTAGCAGAAACCAGGGGGCACAAGAGCCACTGCACCCCAGGCAAGCAAGTACCAGCCCAGGGCTGCCACCTTAAGCTCAGCTCTTAAACCCTTCCAAAGGGGGGGTGGCAGCCCTGCTACTCCCTGGGGAGCTCCCAAGGATCTCAACAGCTTGCATGAAGCCATCGCAGCTGGAAGCATGCAGGGTGCTGTGAGGTGCAGCAGTGGCACCACAAAACCTTTGCAGCCAACCCCAGGCTAGAGACAGAGCAGAGCCACCTCCTGCTTTCTGAACAGCTTTATTTCATTGCATCCCTGTTTTTCACAGGAAATCAAGGCCCACAGCCATGTGGAACGTGAAGAAGCACAAAGTGCTTTAAGCCTCCTGTGCTGAGCATGCGCCAGCTGCTTCCTAGCAAGCTCTAGTTCCCACAGCAGCTCCACAGCACAGCTCTGCTCAGTCACGGGACAGTCAGTGCTGGAAGCTGCACATGGGATGGCTTTGTGTTCCAGGAACCAAGAACTTCTGCTGATGCAAATGTTTCTCCAGGAAAGGCAGACCCTAACCCCAGCAGCACACACTCAGGCCAGGAGAACAGCTGCAGCTGTGCCCCCATCACATCTACCTGGAGGTTACTCTGGAATGAAGGGTGCTGGTGGCAGAGCATTCCCGATCTCCCTAAGCCGCAGCCTCAGTCTTACCTTTAGGGGGTTTTGCCTGCAAAACAAACAGGGGCATCTTAGCATGCTAAAGGCAAGGGGACAGCCCAGGCAGGTGGTCCGGTGCTGCTCTGCTCACTCCCATGTGACCAGATTAATTGAGACTCTCACTCCACTTTTGATTTGAGATCAGGCATTAGGAACAGCTTTTCTTCCCCCAGTAGGATGGTGCAGCCCTGCAGCTGGGGGATCTCTGTCCTCAGAGGTTTCTAAGACTCAGACAGATAAAGCCAAAGATGACCCAAGCTAGGGCTGGCAGCTCTCCTGTTCTGGGGGGAGCCTCCCAGCCCACACCCTGCAACTCATTGATTCACCAGGGCTTGGCAGTGCCAAAGCAGGAATCACACACAGAAAGAAAACCTGTCACTGAACTGCAGCGTCAGCACCAACACAGCGCCAGGGTGCACTCTGAAGAGCTGCTCTGTCTCTCCACATGGAGTTCAGCCAGATTCAGTTTGGAAGAGGGTGAATAAATGTGGAGCTGGGTCAGGTTTCTACTGTAAGGTCCCCTCGGGGATTCCTTGTTGTCCAACAGCAGTTGAGGTCATAGTACAGCTTTCCCTGCAGTCCAGGCACCAGCTGGGTCCCTCTCTTCCATTCTGCTGTCTGTTGTCATTAAACTTGTAAGAGTTTAACCTCTGTCAGGTTCAGTTCAGACCAGGCAAGCCCAAGAGTCAAAGACTAAGAACTGCTCCACTGAGGTTTTCCCAGATCTTGTGAATTGAGTTTTAACCAAGGGGCAGAAAATAATTAAATCCACTTGCAAAACTTCACTCCAACCTCATCTCTCCAAAGTGGCCCCCATCCTTACCTCCTCAAACTTCTCCTTCCAATAGAAGTCAGCCTTCGCATCCAGGTAAAGCAGAACCAGGTCACAGACCACCGTGGCCTGGAGACAGACAAACGCAGCAGGGCAGTCGGCAGTGAAACTTGCTGCAGGAGTCCCAGGAAGTTTCTGGCACTGGCTGCCCACCCAAGCCCTGCAGCCGGCTGCAGGCCAAACTCCAGCACCTGATCAGTGTTGGGGGCAGCAAGCCTGACCTGCCTCCAGCCCAGGCCACCCAGGCAGCTCCACCAGGTTCTCTTTGACCCAATCTGCTCCCATTAGCTGCAGAGGAGGTTAAATGTGATCATCTGGGCTGCAATGCATGTACACAGGGTGAGGGCTGGTCCAGCAGAGAGCCACCATCACAGCCATGTAAGGGACTGGGATGAACACGTCTGGGAGGAAAGAGGGGGCAGGTGGGAGAGCCTAGGCTCCCCGTTACTCTGCTGAAAGGGAAGAGCCACAGAATTGCTCTACAAGGGGCTGCCCCATCTCGATGACTGCAATGCCATGTCTATCCTCGAGCCGGTCACTGGCTCCCTTTAGAGTCAGGGGAGAAACACAGAGAGGTGTTGTCTCCTGCTGGCCAAGACAGCTGGAGCAGACCAGACAGCAATGCCCCAGCAATATGCCTTCCCAGAATCAACAGAAACACCCAGCCTCCATGAGATGTACCCCTGACAGTGCTCCTTGATCCAGCAGTGTCATTACTGCTAATGATCACAAACAGAAAAATGGGAAATAGCACCCTGCCAGACAGTCTCCCCTCCCAGGCTGGCAGGCACCCAGGCAGCCTTGTGCCCAGGCAGGCAGGGGAAACAACAGATGAGTGGCAAATCCCAAACCATGGATCAAAGGAAAAGAGTGTATATGGAGTACTCACAGCACCAAAGAACGCAATGCTTGTGCCAAAACTCACAGCAGCAG